GAGGCTGATAAACAATCTGCCTCCCTATGCAGTGTGCCTTGTCCTTTCTCTGCGTTTGAAGTATAGAACTTGGATGCCTATAAAGATTTGTTAGTTTATTAAATTCCCCAGCGGAATTGGCGGCCATCCACCAGGTTAGGCTTTGGATTTGCTTTTCTCCACCTCCAGCATCTCCCACCCCTTGAAAGCCGGAGGAAAGCTTGTGTGTGAAATGACTTACCCTCTACAAGAGATTTAAACAAGTGCAGGGGGGGGGGCAGTTCACCCCACGTGGAGGACAAGTACAAATCCTATGCGTAGCCCGTTAGCGAAATGCCTGGTATGTCCTCCTCTAGTGTGTGGTCTATAGAGAAGATAACCACTTGCTACTGCTGCCAGTTAAGAGTTAGCTCTTTAGCTCAAGTGGAGAGAGGTCTGGGCTGTGCTGCTGAGGGTTCCGGGTTGAACCTGCAAATGACTTTTGTGTGCGGCGTTGTTCCATCAGCCCTGTTCTGATGATATAAGAGGGGCTGGCTCCTCTGTATAAGAATCAATCTCAAGAGTGGATTATAGCTGAAAGCTGGCAAGTGGGATGCCTCTCAATTGGGCTAAGGGGAAGGATCCCTTTTTGGACGCACCGGGAGAACCCAAACACCCCCAAAGCATCTTGATTTAATTCTCACCTGACGTAACTTGCAGTGAGTCTGACCACAGGCTGGGACAGCTCACTGAAATGGTGCAGCTTTCTCTAGTGCCTGACCACAAATTAGTAGCCACAGTGGTGTTCAAGCAGAGCTTTTGGCCGGCAGTTTTGAGCCGATCCCCAAGAGGGAGAAAGTACACCACACAATGGCCTTCTCCAAGGAAAACTTAACTGAGCAAACCATGTGGATGGCAACTGGCCACTTACCTGACATGTCATTTCCTCCCCTCCTGCCACCCGCCACACAAGCACACGTGCACAAATCAGCCCATTCATGGCTGCTGCTGGGAAACACATCCATGAAAAGGGATACGCTTCCCTGAGGTCTGGGAGGTTTGACGAATTCTTCCATCACCTGACGCTAGCCAACTCTTGAGCACAAAGACTGAGGCTGCCAGTCTATGATGTGTAAGCCACTTGGCTAGGAAATAGCCAATAGTTCCTTGGAACCATTTTACACTTCATAATTGACTTACAGCGGGGAAGCATTTAAAGAAAGAGAGAAGATAGCTAGATAGATGACACTTATTCATAGCAACAGATAACTTTTGCATTGTCTAATTTCAAATTTACTCAAATGTTCTGGGTTCTAGTGCTGGATTAACTCCAGCACCACTGAGTTTGAATTTTAGTTTGGTGAGAGGGGGAAAAAGGAATAGATAGGAAAATATTTTATGAAGAAATAGGGTGGAAAAACAGGGAGAAGAGAGGGGACAGAGTGAAAAATAAATGCAGAGAAAGAAGGGGAATAAAAAAAAAACCATACTACTGACGCAAATACGTTTATGCTGGAGCAGGGCAAAACAGACTTCATGACTCTAGCTAGAAGTCCTTGTCTTAAAGACCTGGGGCCTGATTCACACCTTCCTTGCACATTGGGTTGTCATTTATACCAGTGCAAAGTAGATGCAAAATACAACCTTCTACTTTAATAGCATTTTTCACCCACTAGCACTTCTGTAAATGATTATACCAGGGCCAGAGCAACGATGTACTTGGCCTCTTATAATCAAACTCAAATATATTCTACTGGGACCAGGGTTCTGATGAAAGAAGTTGGAGAGACATTTGTCACCACAGGAAGAGAGATACAAAGAGAAGATAGGTCGTGGAGATATAGCGCTCAGCTATCTATAGTTATAGCTATTATGGTAAGGCATGTCCTAGAAAAGCCTAATCCTTGTTATTCACCAAGTCACCTCCTGACATTCAGATCCCTCCTTCTCCAATGCCCGCAAGAAGCGAAGCAATCACACATTCAAAAAACCAAAACAAACAGCCTGTCTCTCCAAGTTCTCCCTCCCAACGGCTTTCCCAGTATGTCCCATCTTTGCTGTTCCTTTTGGGCCAGAATGTGATTCCTATCCTCAGTATGAAAACAGTGCCGTGCACCGTTACTATCCCCTTTGTCTCTCCACCCGCTGTAAGGTGCTATTCAGCATGAGTAAGGCTATTACAACGTGGCTCTTTGTTTTAATGTCAAGCTCTTCGGAGCAAGGCTGGTCTTCATTTTGTGTCTTGAGTGCGGTGTTAGTGCTTAACAATTAAAGAAAATATTAATCAGTAATGATAACGGACAATGAAATTAACCTTTTTTGTGCTCTGAAGCACATTTCTCTCCTTCCTAAGAAAGCGGCCACTCTATAAGCGGGAGGAAGTCCATAGATAACATCGACACATGTAATTATGGAATGAATGTATTGGGTGGATGGCACTATATGTATTGCTAATAAGACAGATAAATAATAGCAATCCATGGAGACAGAGGCAATTAAAGTGACAACAACACTGATGGATTGCTAAATAAATAGCTGGAATGATTTGCTAATGCAATGACTCGACTAGCAGTAAATAGATATATGGACACCCAGATACAAAGGAAAATGACAGAAATATGAACCTGGCACATCCCCAAAATGAACACTGAGGAGCTACTGTGAATGCTGCGTGCTACTGTTCAAAGAAAATGTCCGGGACCCACTCAACTGTACTAAATCATAGGGATAAGTTACTGAAGCTGTGAATTGCACAGTTTGCCAGGTATCTTTCTCTTTGTGGTTACTCAGTGCCTCCATAATTTGACTGGGGGAGCTTTATCCTTCACTGTTGGTCGGGTAGAGAGATTGTGGGGGTCGTGGCTTGCAAAAGGTTAGAATTTTAGCTGCATTGAAGAATCGAGTGGGGCATTTTTGACAGCTAATGCTCGAAAACCGAAAAGCAAGAGCCAAAGGCTGGTTTAAGTTAGTTCCCCGTGACAGCGCCATCGGGACAGGTTCTGATCTCAGCTCCAGCTGTCGGAGATCTGGAGGAACTCCAATGAATATGGTGAAATTACTTCAGATTTGTATCTGGGAGAAGAATCTGGCCCCATGGCCCAATCTATCATTTTCCTTTGGTCTCGTTAAGCTGGACCAAAGGGGCCATAGGACAGACACAAGAAGCCCCCTCTGGGGAATATTAGTCTCCTATGCTGCGTGTAGAATTGGCCATGGCAGCTCTGCTCTCTCTCTGCCACAGCGCTGGCTGGAGGGGGCATTCTGGGCTAGGCCGGGGGTGGGCTGAGAGCAGGTTGAAGGAAGGAGGAGGTGTGTTGGAGCAGAAGGAGAGTTGTCTGGAGTACGGTAATGTCCCAGCTATTCTGCATCCAGCAAAAGGAGCCATTGACTCAGGGATGCGATTTAAGGCAGGCCTCAGGACTACCCTAGCCTAAGGGTGCACCAGCTTCCAGCGCTCCTGAATAGGAGAGGCTCAAACTGCTTCACCTCTGTCCCTCTGCTGGCACCTGCACTTATGCAAGGATTAATCTGGTTCAGAGGATGTCTACATTCCAGCCGGGGCAGACCTGCTCTAGTTGTGCTCTAGCTAGCTTGCTAAAGATGGAAGTGGGGATGCCTTGGCTGGGCTTCAGGGTGGGCTGCACAAACCCACAATGACCCCCAGGTACCTACTTGCTTCTGCACTCAGCGCTGAAGCCCACGCTATGGTGTCCTCACTTCTATTTTTAGTGAGCGAGCTCAAGTACAGCTAGCGCAGGTATGTCTACCCAAGCTGCCATTGACACCCTCAGCAACCATTCACACCCTCCGTGTGCTTCGCTTAACATATATGGGTTAGTGGCAGATCAGAGAGACTCGCAGCATATAGCTGGTCTGATAAATAACTCCCCTGTCTCCAGTTTCCCCTATTTCCTGTAACTCCAAAATTTAGTCTTTCTTTCTTTCTTTTCTTTCCTACCACAGGGGAAATACCACTATTTACCTTGGAGCAAGAACTAAAAGGCGAGAGCTCGTTCCCACTGACGTCCTTGTCAAAACATCTCCATGACTTCTGTGACAGCAAGGCGGGGCTCATCAAAACTCTTTCCAAAGACAAATATCACTCAACAAGACTGTCGGAACAATAAACAACTGTCGGATGTTCTGCGTACTGGCGTCTTCCCAACTGTAACTCTCATTAAGTCAATATACTCCGAAAGCCACGGATGTGTTGAGATGTAAGTATCTCACTGGGCAAAGACACAAACACACACAGGGAATAGTGAATTCAGGCTGCCCTGTAATTCAGAGCCAATTTGTAATGTGTACACCCCATTCCTGTGTGTTTCTCAGGCCGCATTCAGACTGGTGCCTGTTTGGACTTGAATTTGAGTTTAATGAAGAAAGAGAAGGCAAGGTAATTTCCCCCCGAGCTGCATTTCTGCTCAGAGCCCTCTCAATTTCTGTGCTTTTGTGCTTTGCTTGCATGCACATTTTCCCTCTTTCTCTATTAATTAATTAACTAAGCTTTGCTTCAAAAAAAAAAAACGGTTTTGAAGCTGAAAAGCACTTATGCCTGAAGTATTATTGTTTTTATTTTTGTTTCTCCTGGTATTCGGGAGGACAAACGGGCATGAAGAGAACGCGTCAAAGTCTATCCCTGTGCTCCAGAGTTTCTGCCGTCATACCCCCCAGTGCCAACGCAGCTTGCAGCCTACACCCACAGAAGGCGTTTTTCTGCTGATGTAGGAATTCCACCTCCCCGGATGACATTTGCTAAACTGACAGAAGCACTCTTCCATCAGCACTGCTGAATCCACGTGTGGGTGGGTGGGGTGGTTTGGGGCTTTTTTCGCTAGCATAGCGATGTTGTTATGTTAGTGAGTTTGTTTGTTTTCACACCCGGGCTGAGATCGCTCTGTTGGCATAAGTTTTAATTGTAGACCAGGTCAAAGATAATTTTCACCTTGTGTGGTCACCTATGAAAAGTGAGTGCAAAACATGTGAAAACCACTGTCAGTTCAGTACAGAGAGACAATTTGGCCTAGCGGCTAAGGCACTGCCCTTGGTAGTCAGCAAACCTAAATTCTAATCCCTCCTCTGTGACTGACGGTGGGTAAATCATTGCATCTCTGAGTGCCTTCTTCCCCCTTTGCAGGTCTTCCCTATTTAGGCTGTACACTCTTCACGACAGGGATTGTCTCATGGTTGTACAGTGCTTAGCACAGCGGGGCCCTGATTTCAGTGTGGCCCCCTAGATGCTACTGTAATACAGATGAATGAAGATGATGGTAAGAACATAAGCTTAATTTTTTCTGTCCCCGTTTTTTGCTTCCATCTGCTCGTCTACAGTTCAGCAGGGGGCGGTAAATTGAAGTTCCAAAATACGAGACAGGCCAGGATCCGAATGAGGAAATAACAGGAAGCTCTCAAGAAAGTTGTTTCTCAAGACAGCTGGCTGAACACAATTAAGCTGTTGCCACTGCAGTGGAACTTTCAAATGTTTGTTTAAATGTAACAAAACCCCAGTCCAGACACTACCTTTTTCTTCCTCCTCTTCCTCTTTGCTACTTATGAGTATTTGCTTAACAATGACCAGGGCTTAATTTCAGATCGTCATTAGTTCAAAGATGAAAATGGGGGGGGCTGTTCCTGCAAGCTTTTTATGTCTGGAACATGTAGCAATGAGGCCAAATGATTGTTTGCTAACCTCGTTTATCTTTCATATGTAACAGTGCCCCTGACTGGGTCACCTGTGGGGATCGGAGATGTGACCTGTGGCTCTAAAAAAGCATGAACTCCCACTACCAGTCATACATGAATGAAGCATGTGTATTTAGAACCACGGCAGCCTTGTAAACAGCTGTATGTGGTCAAGCCACCGGAGGAAGACAAAGGGCCACCTTGTTTTAGAATCATAGAATATCAGGGTTGGAAGGGACCTCAGGAGGTCATCTAGTCCAACCCCCTGCTCAAAGCAGGACCGATTCCCAGACAGATTTTTGCCCCAAATCCTTAAATGGCCCCCTGAAGGATTGAGCTCACAACCCCGGGTTTAGCAGGCCAATGCTCAAACCACTGAGCTATCCCTCCCCCAATGTGTGCATGACACATTATTATTAGTTTGTATTTCCAGAGTGTCTTGGTGTCCCGGTCGGAGACCAGGATCCCATTTGGCTAGGTGCTGTTCAAACACGTTTCCTCTCAGTGCACTTTCCTAATGCCTGTTAGCCCTGAGCGAAATGTGTAATCCTCTTGTGCATGTACAATCCTTGATAGCAACAGCCATTCCAGGGTTTGCGCTCTCTACCTGAGCGAGAATAACCCTGCCATGATAAGGGGCAGTACAACCGCCAGCAATAGATAACAGTCACAAAACAGACTGTTTGTCTCCGTGCAAACAACTTATGTTCACCCACTTACTTGACCAAACTGAGCCTACTGCGTGGGCATGGCATATGCTGCTGTTATGTACCTCACTGGTTGGAATCTGCACAGACGCTGTCGATTCCCATATATGATCCATAAACAACCATTAAGAAACTCTGGAGGCCAATTATATCCTCAGTCTGGGTCATGACAGCGTGGCTCTGTTCCTAGGTAATGAGACAGCTACATTTGCTGTTTGAGAGTGTGAGTTTTATTATTAATATTTATTATTTCTATGTTGGTAGCTCCCTGGAACCCTCAGTCAGCATTAGAGTCCCATGATGCGAGGCATTATCTAAGGCCTCATCTACACACAAAAGTTGTACTGCTTTAAACTATACCAGTATAGTTAAAGTGTTACAACTCTGCTAGTGTGGATGCAGCTATAGCTTATTCCTATGTCTACACTACCCCCCGGATCAATGCTCCAGGGATTGATGCACTGGGGCCAATGTAGTGGGTCTAGTGAAGACCCACCAAATCTACTGCAGATCGCTCTTCAGTCGACCCCGCTACCCCGAACGAGAAGAGTAAGGTAAATCGACTGGAGAGTGTCTCCCGTCGACCCAGCGTAGTGTGGACCCCGCGGTAAGTTGACCTAAGCTACGTCGACTCCTGAAGCAGGAATTAAGTACTCCTGTCTAAGCACACGGTAGTGATGCCTGAGTGCAAATGACATATTCTCAAGTAGGTGCTTGCTGTGGACTTGTTCACAAGGAAATTCTGACCAGATCCCAAAATTTAAGCAATTGGCCGGGATGCCAAACCCCATCCTTCTCAGTGATGTGCTGAAGAAGATGCTGGAGGGCCTTCCACCAAAGCAAAGGGAAATTTGGGACAATTTCCCTGTTTATTACCCTGTCCCCTCCCTCCTTGTACACAGTGTGTATCACAGGCTAAGGGGAATATTTTTGCAGGATTCTCCTTGTTAAGATATGGACAGCACTCTGCTGATCCCTTGGGCTTATCTGTGAGAAGCATGTGAGTTCTGGGCGTATTCTCGATCCTGTACAGAAGAATCTGTTCCATTGGTGACAGCTCAAAACCTGGTTATTGTCGGAAATAGGGATGGGTAACCATCATGGAATTTCCGAAGTAGTGGCGAAACTCGCAAACTATTTTTGGCGTTTGCAAAACTAGCGTGAGTTCATGAACCTGTTCCCCTGCCGTAATTTAAAGCTGTATTTTTCAGTTTTAAAACAAAGGTCCTAGTTCTTTATACCCATACAACCCCATTTGCACCACCGATCTGGCCACCCTGCATTTGGGGAATCCTCAAGGGGCGTAGGCCAGATGTTGTGACTCTATATCTCCCCTTGCAGCCTTCCCAACACAGAGCGTGCGGCTGAGGAACAGGAGGTGTGGTGCCACATCCCTGAGCTCCACTATTCCCACATTCTAGGCCAGCCCCTTGGTACAAAGTGGAAAACGTGTGTGCAATATTTATTATTAGGTCAGTGCAAATAACTGATTTTTTTTCAGTTCTGTGGCCGGACTGAAAAAAACAAACCATTTTTGGTCAAGCTGAAACAAACAAACAAAAATATCAAACATTTTGACGAACTGAAAAAAAACGTTTTCAAAAAATAAAATTGCTCTCAAATTCAAAATGAAATGATGTTTTCGAAGCAAAGAATCAACATGTTTCATTTTGAAAATGTAGAAACAAAATGTTTTGATTTTTTTTGATGTTTTCCTGTTGTCCTTTTATTTCTAACCAAAACAATTCCGTGAATTCTATCTAAATTCTCTACATGTTTCGATCAGTCTGAATTCTGCATTTTTCATTGGAAAAAAACCAAAAACCTTTTGGCTAAAAAAATTTACCCAGCTCTCCTTACAATGTCTGAGGCTTCCCCTCATCTCTCTCTCTCTTTCACAGGTACACACAGCTCTTTCGTCTTCTGTAAAATGCCTCTGAGTTATAATCTCTTCTCAACAGATTTCCATAACTCCCATTCTATTATAATAATCAATATGTATGATAATAGAAAATGCAGGACTTACCATCTCTACCCATGTGCAATCCATATCCCAGTAATAAATATGTTGTCTGTCATAAAACAGGCTCAAGTAAACTTGTTTCTCCTCAGTAAAACTCCACCCTATAGTTATGATGTGGTGCTTTTTGTTTGGTTTTTAATTGCAGTAAAATCTGAGAGACAAGCATGTAAAAAAATCCATAAAACATGGATTAAGACACTAGGGGCACAGATAATGGCTTCAGTCTATTTAATTACGCCCTGGGACAGGTTCCAAGGTACCAGACCACTACATATCTGTGCTATATTAAACTGGTTGTATTAGTATTAGTTACTTGTTCTATAGTAGCATCTAGGGGCACTGCGCTAGGGGACTGTGCAAACATACAGCATAAAGATGACAGAGAGCCGACAATCTAGGTATGTATCAAGCCTCTTGAGATGGATGGAATTGACAAGTGGGACTGGGGTTGTTATGAAGATTACTGCATTTAAATGTCCCCTGCATATCTCTTCATGGAGACAGAAAATGAGAGCAACATTTTAGAGACAGGCAATAATATTCAAAATGTGTTGAGGTTCTACCTCTGCCACTCGCTGTGTGGCTTTGGATTTGGTAAGTCATCTATAAAATAGGGATGATAATATTTGTCTGCCGCATCAGGATATTACAAACTTAATTAGCCCTTGTAAAGCATTTGAAACTGCTGGATGAAAGGTGCTGTCTGAGTGCAAAGTACTGTAATGATATATTCTCCAACAGTTGCTTGCTTAGGACTCGATCACAGGGAAAAATGACTCAATGCCAGAATTTAAGCCATTGTCCAAACATATCCTTCTGGCTCATCATTGAAATGAGTTCTCTGAGAACACTTGATCCTGTATATTAAAACTAATATGTTCACTGTGGATTTGATCCAAAACCCATTGAAGTCAATAGCAACCTTCCATTGGCTTCAGTGAGCTCTGGTTAAGGTGGTGAGTGACAGCTGAACACTTGTTTATTGTTCTCATGGAGGTCAAAATAGCTTTAGGTGTTGCAAAACTAGTTCAAGTTTGTGAGTCTTTTTCTGTCTGGAATTTCAACCTGTGTTTTTTGGGGGAAGGTTACCAAGCGTGTTCCAATTTAAAAACAAATGCGTTTTTTCTAGTTGAAGGAAAGCTCAGGTTGTATACTACCTGTCAAAGGGTCCTTCTAAAACTGGGAGATGAGTGGCTTCCATATGGTATTAATACTGTATTCATAAAAAGAAAGAAATTGAACAAAAAGGGAGCAGAGAAGGAGAGAGAGAAAAAATCCAAAGAAACTTAGGAATTTTTGGAATCTTTTGATTTTTTTCTCTCCCCTTCTCTGCTCCCTTTTTGTTCAATTTTTCTTTCTTTCTTTCTCCTTGTTCTCTATACCATTTTTCACCATTTCTTGTTCCTTTGGAACTTTAGATATGATTTATTTTTAAATTTATCTCTGGAATATAAGCCACTACTTTGAACCGCTTATGATTTTTTTTATTATTATTTTTGCGGCATCTGTTCCCTCTGCACATATATTCAATTCTTTAAAGAGCCAGTCCAAGAAGGAATGTAAAGAGAGATGGGAAAAATCTCCTTATTCTCAGGCCAGCACCTTAACCACACAATCAACGTTCATGCCTAAACTAGTTCACCTTCACATCTTGTGAACTAAACTGTCCCCATGTTATAGGTGAGGCAATTGCAGCTCCCACTTGGGAGGTGACGGTGCTCAGCCCCCCTGAAAATTAGGCCATAGGTGATTTGCACAAAACTACACAACAAATCAGTAGCAGAGACAAGATTCGAGCTCTGAAGTTGCCAAATCCAGTTCCTGAGCTCAATCCACAAAATCACATTCTCTCCAGATTAATTGACGGGCGTGGAATAATCTCATGGGATAGAAGAGGATTTATAGCTGCTGTTAGATGGGTGGGGGAAGCAGGCAGGAGGAGAGATTTGAAATCCCTTTTGAAATTCAAACAGCCATGAAACACCCAGCCCAGTGTGTTTTATTGTCTTTTAATTGAACAGTATCCTATGTTTTTCTCATCTGGCAGGAGGCCAATGCTTAGAATATTTAAAGAGACAAGGTGGCTGTGGTAATATCTTTCATTGGATCAACTTCTGTTGGTGAAAGAGACAAGCTTTATGCATAGGCGTGCGCACGGGGTGTGCCGGGTGTGTCTGGGCACACCCTAATGCAGGGATGGGCAAATGGCCCCCCTCTCCAGGCACAGCAAGCTGCGGGGTCTGCGCTCCCCGGCCGGAGCGCCTGGCCGAGCACAGCAAGCTGCCGGCCCCTCCCCCGCCTTTCTCCCTCCCCATGAGTCCTGCCGCCGCATGCAGCGCTCTGGGGGCCGGGGCTGCACGGTCCCGTGGGGCAGGGTTTGGCTCCGCGGGGAGGCAGTTACCTCCCCCTCTCCTGGAGCCATGCTGCCCCGTGTGCAGTGCTCTGGGGGCCAGGGCTGCGTGCGCTCCTGCGGGGCAGCGTTTGGCTCTGCGGGGAGGCTAGGAGCCTCATCTCATGCCATGGTAAGGAGTCCGGGGCCAGGGGGTTGGCTAAGTGGTGGGGGGAGTCAGGGGACAGGGAGCAGGGTGGGTTCGATGGGGTTGGGATCCAGGGCGGGAGTGTTAGAGGGTAGGAGGGTCTCTGGAGGGGGGCAATCAGGGAGCAGGGGGATTGGATGGAGCATGGGAGTCCCGGGGTCTGTCAGGGGGCGGGGGGTAGATAGGGGTCAGGGGACAGGGAGCAAGGAGGGTCCTGGGGGGAGCAGGTTAGGGTGGGGGGCTCGTGGAGGGGGTGGTCAGGGGGATAAGGGAGCT